ACTGCCTCCCTTTGTTGCAGAGTAGAGTCCAGCCTTGTGTTAGTAGCACAGACCTTTAAACTCTAGCCCAGCTCAACTTTTGGCAGCTTTCCTTCCCCACTTTCTCCCTCCTCCTGACTGTCTTAAGCTTCATGTTTTTAAGTACCTAGAATGTTCCTCCTGCTTTTTCTCCTGCCAATGAAATGGTTATTCTTTTCCAAAGAGCCTTCCTTGTGAAATGCCGCCAAGTGAGATTCAGTGTCATCTCTGTGGCTCTAGGAGTCATGATGGTCACAGAAGGGGCAGAGTCATAGCATCAACAGCCGACATGTATTGACCACTTAGTATAGCCAGTCAGTGTTGCAAACCCTTCACATGCTCATTTAATCCTTTGAGCAAACATATAGAATATTTACTAATATTATTTCCACCTTCAAATGAGGAAATTGAAGCTCAAAAATGATACTGAAGTTTTTCTATATCTAGTTAGTCACACAGAACCAGGATTTGAAACAAATAGGCTAGAACCAGAGTTTACTCTTGATTTGTTAATGCTAATCCCTTTCTAATTTTGCCACGCACAGCATTTTACGCCTACTCATTGTATCTGAGTGATCTACGGGTTTGTTTATTTCATTACATTGTCAGCCGACAGACGTCTTACTTCTCCTATAGTCAGTGTTCCATAAATGTCTGTTGTGCCACAGTGAAATCCTCTAAACTGCCAACAGGAAATAGCTGCCTCCGGCTTTCCTACACTAAGACTCATTCACGATTCAATAAAGATTCCTGGTAAATATGTGTCAGACCAGGGGAATGAATGCCCATCTTTTAATTTGCCGCTAAATACCTATGTAACTTTGGACAAGCCACTTAGTCTCTTCACTTTTGTCTACTACATGGAGATTATAACCCTATGATCAATCATTCTTCCAGGAGTTTTATAAGGATAAAGTGAGATAATCAGGAGAAAAAGTTTTAAAACCTGTAAAATACTACAGAACAAAGGGGCAACTTTTCTGATTAGTAAAACACATAGTTTATAATAAGTAAATGGTAGTGCCAATTGGTATGAAATCTGTGTTAAGTGGGGTTTGTAGATTTTTCCACTTTCTGCTTCTCCTGGGTAATGAAGTACCAAAAAAGAAGGAGATTGTATGACAGCTTTGAAACATTCACCATTTGTCATAGCAGAAATAAGACATGCCATCTCCCTGGCTTGTGAAACGCTAGATCTGGAAACGCTAGATCTGGAAGGACATGAGACTCAGTCTGTGTAGATGGTGACACAGACAGAGAGAAGAGGTAACTCATTCAAGAGGCCACCACAATGTTCCCAGACAACCTGGGCTGCACAAGGGTGTCTTACGTTGAGCAGTAAGTGGAAAAAGGGTCTGTCTTGTATTTTGGTGTTTTTTTTTTTCTTGTGAAATGGACAAAAACACTGGACATAACTACAGAACTGGTTAGTACAAAGACTCTGGATTGCTGGGGTCAGCCCCTCCCCCTGACCCCACACCTCATTCTAACAATGTGATTGACATAAGTTGGTTCACCTCTCATCCTTCAGGTTCCTATTCTGTGAAATGAGAATACTAAAGAACATCCATCTTATTTGTAGGATATAATAAGTTAAACTGTGCAAAGTACTTAGAACTGCACCAGCCACATAGTAAGTACTGGATATTTGTTAAATAAATATAAATAACATGAGCATTTGACCATAACATTTTTAGGGCTCATACATGTGATGAAATTGAAGGACTTTGCTTTCTACTTGCAAACTAAGTTCACAAACCTTCACGGGTCCTGCCTCTGTTCCTCTAGAGATTCTCCTATGTGCCCAGGTTAGAGCTTTTTACTAATGCCACTAGGGAGTTACCAGGAGATTAACTGATTATCAGAAAGCTGAACATTTAAAAAAAATTTCCTGGAGGTTACTGTTGTATTTTTAATTGGCAGTATGTGGGCAGTTCAAGTCGCTTTTTGAAAACAAATCCTCCAACAGCTAAATATGGATGGATTCTCTGCCAAGACAAGCATCTAGAACTTTCCATGATCAATATGCTACCAGGAAAACAAAACCCACCGAAATGTTGCCCTGTATTTGATACCAAAAATCTGAAGTAAAGTTAGGAAATTATGTTTGGCAATTATACAAGACACTATGCTGATGGTGGCTTCTGGGTTGCAAGAAGTCTACTCTCACAATTACTTCATCTCATTTGCTCTCCTGTTTCTGCTCAAGTCAAAACAAAAACCCCTGGAATGAAGCTTTAATTTAGTGAATCAATTATTTTGATTGAATGAGGGCACTGAGATTTACTGGGTAGTTGTTGTAATGGAGAAACTGTTTTTAAAATGTATATAAATATCAACCCACATTTAATCAAGTATTTCATATTTGATCTTTTGCATTAGTTCCTGATCATTGTGCAGTAAGTAACCTTTTTGTCACCATAATGTCTTTAGAATAAATAGGGAAAATGATTACTTTACAAAAAAATAACTGGGGCATAGAAAGATAAAGCAAATTACTCATAGAGTTATCCAATGAGGAGATACAGCCACAGCCTGACAACATTTATTATTTAAAGAAAAAGTATTTGTGCTGACAGAGAGTATAGCAGCTAAGGATTTCTTGGTACTAAGCCATTCATGAAATAGCTACTTAAATTCTTTAATCTTACAATCATCTACTCAATATCAGCATATACTTAGGAGCGAGGTGTCAGCCTTCAAGATACCATGGAATTAGGAACAACCTCACAAAAAGAGCAGAGAAGTCACTTGACTTATAGACCACCAACTCCTGGCTCCCAAGATGTACAGAATCTGCAAGACATTCCTATTTGGTCTTCTGAACCACTCCCTATCCTCCACGCTGTTCTGGGTCTTGAAGGATGGCCTCTATAGATGTTATCTGAACCGCTTGCCCTCTGATGTCCCACCAGGTTGGCCAAGGGCAGGCACCAACAGAAGGTCAGAGAAGAGGAAACAGAGGTTGTAGTATTAATTCTATGGGCCCCCTTCTTGGTGGGGGTTGGGTTGATAGTGGCTACAGGCCTCTTCCAAGCCCCAGCGCCCCTGCTGTGAAGCCCTCTCTTGGTAATTATAGCCATAGTTATGCTTTCTTATCTTCTGGCAACCACTGGTCTAGAAATAATAACTTACTTTTTTTTTTTAAAGTTTCCCAGACGGTTTTATTAAAGACCCATGCTGTGTATAAACATACAAGTGATGAGGAAAACATTAACTTGAAACATGCACTTACCTGGCATTCTTTAAAATACCATTATACAAGTTTTCATTTACTTAGAAAAATACCCACTAAAATAATCACAGTTTTGCTTAAAGTTTAAAAAAAATGTATCAGCCAGAACAAAGTTCAAGAGAATAAACAAGATTCTGAATTGTGTCAAAAAAACTGTACAAGGTTGTACATAAAACTATAGATTACAAAAGCCTCGGGTATAGTAAGAATACTGAATTAAGATTTCCAAAGTTCTATTTACCAATATCTATTAATGAAATCCTTATGAAATAATTGATTAGAAAAAGTGAAATGCTCATGATTTCAGAGTGTATAGAAAGTACTAAATATCACTTTCTGAAATAAAGTGTACTCAAACCAGCACATGTAGCCTAAAATCAAGATTTCTGTCACTCATTTAAACTTTTCATATATTGCTAGATGGCTTAAGCATAGAATTTCTTTGATGTTAGTGACTTTTTAAAAAAGTTTTCAGTTTTAGTTTTTATCTTTTGAATTATAGTCAGTTTTAAAATGATTTTTTTGGGTGGGGGTAAGTCATGTCACTTTTTTTTCCTTGTCTTAATATAATTTAAATCAAGTTACTGCACTCAAATTTAGGAGTGTGGGGCCTTTCCCCTATCTTTTAGAAATTAACATGTCCCATGGACAATAAAAATAGAATGACAGCAGAGAACATTTACAATTTTCATGTTTCTGTAACAAATTCTTGCTTTGGGGGAATGAATATTAAAATCAGGAAGTGAGTGTGGAAGAAACTAGGTCACTAATGAATCATCAAGCCAGTTGGCAATTTTAAGGCTTATAAACCAGCATGTTAGGAAAAAATTGTATTCTTGTTATTTTGCCCTTTTTTGTGGGAAATGAGGCTATGCAACTATTGACATTTTGTATTTTAGATGGGATAGTACCTAAGTAATATTGCAAAGTCGTATTTCAAGCTCTTAGAATGACTGCAATGTTATAAGTAGTGTGCTGGATATAATAAAAGTTTCAGATTGATAAACAAGATATATATATATATATCATATATATACACATATATCTTAGGTCTCAGTAAAGAGAAAACTAAGTATTGTTTCTGAATGAGAATGAAATGATTCACTGACTACTCCAAACACCTAATATACGTGGTCATGAAGCTGCAAATGGGTTTGCTTGTTAAGATATACAAAGATAACTCATTTTAAACTGTTAAGAATAGTATTCCTAAAGTGATTTAAGTTAAGAATTTTTAACTTAATGATATTTTTTAGTCTAATTGAGAGGTATGCATACTTAGTTTTTCCATGTAAAGTCTATTAGACTTCCTTTCTTAACAGTACTTTGCATTAATGACATTGATGTTTAGGTGAAGTGAGCTCATGTGCACATGGCTAAAGGATGAAGCTCTTTCACTTTCCACGTCTCACTCAGTGGTCTTAATGGTAAAGAATCCCAATGAGCAGACTCTTATTTTTTCCACTTCCTTCCTAAAATCACCTTTGGTCAAACAGAGGAAGCCCTGAGACTGGAGTCACTGTTACGTGTCTTCACTTACATCTTACATATGCTTTTTGGACTTATGGGTTGGCATGGTTGTTAAGATAAAAGAAATGAAATAGCTGTATTTTTTTTTTATCACCTACAGATTTGGTATGCTGTTAAGAGTTATTCTGTGTGGTCTGCATCTAGAAGTTACACTGTAACTACCATATGCAGGCCAGATCTTCACTGTGCTTCTTGGACTAAATCACACTGTAAGGTATTATAACACTGTGCCTAAAGACGTTTCCATTTTAAAGAAAGATTCTGCTTCTCTTAGTTCATTGCATTTTCCAGCACCAGTTCCTATATGGCATGAAGTGGTACCTAAAAGCAAGGCAGACTTGTCTCGCCTGCCGAGCCACCTTTTGGGGCTTGCCTGTCTTCTTCGGGGGGACAGGGATTTTCCGTGGCTCCTCACCTGGGTTGGGGAATGGGCACTTGGAGGCTTCAGGATTTTCATTCTCATGTCCCTGGCATACTTCTCCAGCTCCTTCCTTATGTCTGCCCTCAACATCTTTGAGACATCGAGGACTAGCTGCTTCTACTCAATGGGCTGGAAGCTGTGAGGCTCATGGGAAACATACAGCCCAATCTTGACCTTCTTGACTGTGTGCAGGTATTTCTTACAGGAGTCTTCAAAGTCAAAGATGAGGTCACTCAGAGTCCGAAAGGTCAACGGCTTGTCCATCAGCTCAGCCCTTCGGCTCATGCCCAGTGAGCCATAGCGGCCATTGCAATACATCCCCAGCACAACGTGGTGAAAGTAGTTTCCTGAGAAGTAGGTTTTAAAGCTGATGGGGAATCGCTCGATGGAAGGCTGTCCATTGGTTAAGTATATGCCCAGGATGACAGCTTCAAGGCATTTTATAGGCAAGGACTCTCGAGTCATTTCTTTTACTGTTTCCATTAACCCACTCAATGGTCTCATTTTCCTAATTTCAAAGAACTGGGTCCCTGTATGATTGTATTGTAGTGTCTTCATGTAGTTCTGGATTGCCTGAAGCCAGTCTGGAATCATCATTGAAAGCCTGTAGTTTGGAACCTGGGGTATTGTAGGCTTTGCCAAGAAGGCGGCATTCCTGATGGCACCCACCATTTCTCCGTGCACCTTGCCCACATGAATCCACATGCGCTCCCAGGTGTGGCTGTCGATGGGGAAGCCACTCTTGTTAACGTGTAATAGCACCCTGCCGTCTTTGTCCTCCTCCTCTGAGCCCCCGCTGGTGGCGTGGCTCACGGGCCGCACGTGGCTGCTCTGGGGCTGGGTGACTTTGGCGCCTTTGGGGTGGGGGCAGCGGTGAGTGTCAGCAGAGGAGCCGGTCATGGCGGGGGCGGGGGCGGGGATCGCGGCGGCGGTGGGCGGCGCGGGGATAAGGGGCGACCTTCTCCATGCCTGTCACTGCCGCAGGATGCGCAGAAGGGGAGCGGCTGCTGGAGCTCCGCTTATGGGACGGGCCTCGGGCCGGTCGGCCTCATGGCTGCGGAGCCTCTCCGGGCTGTGGGGGCGGTGGGGGCTGCTGCTGACGCAGCTCCTGCTGGGCCTGGGGCGGAGGGGCTGCTGCGTCCGTCTACTCATTCCATGTCCCATTCTCGAATGTTCTTCTGTGATATATAACCGAGTCACCCAGGCAGCCACCGATGTTCCAAATGCGTCCATTGGCCAGTGCAACCAATAATAACTTAACTTTTGCCAGCCTTGGGAGTTTCACCAGTCTGGCTGGGTCCAAAAACCCTGCCCACACTATTGCAAATAATCCTTTCACTAGACTCCTCCCACCACCCCCATTGAGGTTGTTCCTTGTGTTTCCTGCCTGGACCCTGACGGACACAAAACTACAGAACTTCAGTGTTAGAAAGTACTGAACTTGCAGTCAGGTTTCTCATCCTATATTTTTTTTTATAGCGTGTGACTTTGAACAGTCATTCCCTTTTCTGGATCTCAGTTTCCTCATATATGAGATAGGCTATATTACTTATAATAGCCTATTTTTTAAATAAAAGTCTATAATCTTACAGCATTTAAAATACGATGACTATCTGCTTAGATGGCATCTAGTCCCATGGACCCTCCTATATATCAACCCCATGAAATTGCCCTTGACTCTTTCCTTGAATTTTTCTAATAAGGTTTCTTCTATTGATACGACAGTCCCATGAATTGTAGTCATTCAGTAAGTGTATCTGTGTTGCTGGATTAAGGGGAGTTAGTGTATGGGTTTTATTCTACCTTCTCAGTTGTGTGATTCTGCACAAATCCTCACAACCTTTACAGGCCACAGTTGCCTCAGTGGTAAAATGGGGATGTGAGGCCCTCCTTCCTGGAGGTAGAGGGCTAGACCTAATGCTTTGCCATGTTTCTTTTCCGTTTCAAAGTTTGCAATTCACGTTATGAAAAAAAGCTATAATTATGCACCTAACGGGACTCCCTCAGTTAGTGTCAGAGGTGGAGGGTGCAGGTCCGCCTGTTAAAGTGAGGAAGACAGCAGGCTCTGGAGACAGAATCCTGCTTTTGACATTGGGAAAGATGGCCTACTTCTCTGTGCCTCAGATTTCTCAGACATCATATGGAAAAAATAATATCCCTGCCCCAGAAGGTGGTTGGGAGTATCGATTGAGCTAATACTTGTCATGTATTCATATTCACGATGTTTTATGTACTAATTACACTGCATGACTTAATCTCATTTAGTACTCATGACAACCCATGCTTCCGAGGATCACCGTGGTCTTTCTTTCTGCACCACAATAAGCCACGCCCCTTTCCTCCTTTGGACCTTTGCCCTTGCTGGTTCCTCTTCCTTGGAACCCCCTCTCCGTGCCCTCACACTACTAGTCTCTGCTTGTCTTGGGGTCTCAAATATCACCTCATCAATGATGCTTCCCCTGGTCCAAGCAAAGCAGCTCCCCTTGCTTCATCATATGGCCATCGGTTTTCCTTTATGATACTCGTCAATTCCTCAGATTATCTGTGTTCTCATGTGTATCATCTCTCTTCCCATTTCCATGAAAACAATGAACTGATATGTCCTCTCCCTACTATAAACCCAATACTGGCTTAGAATTATATCTGCAACACATGGTCTTTCAAAAAAATATTGTGGAATGAATGACCAAACAAGGAAATGAAACTGTCAGAAAATTTAAGTAACTCCAGGCATTTTGTTTAGTAAGAGCATAGGAATTCAGTGCATGTCAGGATAATGTTAAAGCCCATCCATCTTGCCTCCATTTGCCTCTTTCAGTAGTTCCTGGAAGAGACAATGAGGGTCTGAGCAAAAGCCCCAACACAAGAGATAAAAAGGAGAAGTTAATTTAAAAGATACTTCAGAGAGAAAATTGAGCAGAGTTTAGTGATCACTGAAATGGTGGGTAAGGGATGATAAAGCGGAAGGGGGATGATTCTAACTTCAGCAACTGGGCAGCTAGTGAAGCCAATGGGAGTGGCACTGAGTGACGGTGATCAGCCTGCTGCATCTGGCCAGCGCCCTTAGCTGCACCCTGTGATGAGTGATCAAAGAGCAGTGGGCAGTTGGCTGCCTGGGGAATAGGGGCCGAGAACTTGAACAAGCTAATGCTTAACTCACAACCCAGGTGTTGCCAGACTCAGGGGCTAACCCATTTCTCACTCTTGTTGTGGGGCTATCCCTGTCAGGAGGAAGATATTCTAAAACCTACCTTAATTCTCACTAGATCAGATCTATTACTCCCATTCACCCGTCAGTCAGGCTGTTCGACAGGGGAAGCCACTGAGTGATCTGTCACCTTCTCAAAGCCATGTGTGCTGTTTCCCAACACCTTTCCAAGGCAGTTGGACTTCAATATTTGTCTGACAGTCTTGTCAAACATCAAAGACAAGATGTGTGGTTTAACATAAGGAGTTTGGGGCTGAAACAATTTTTGTCTTTTGTTAAAGGTGAGTAATACATTTGATCTTCAAAAATTTAAGAATGGTTACAGTTTTTCATTCAGAAAAATTAGTGTCATATGCTACCTTTTTAATACCTTCATTTGAGGCACAGATAGCAGAATTAATATTGCAATCCACATTTAACTAGTGACTATAAAATATACAAAATTTTAAATATTGAGGATATTAAATATGTAACAAAACTCAAGAGGTAATCTGCATGATGTCTTTAAATATTTGAAAGGTCAACTCAAAAAAATTTTTTCTAACATACATGGGAAGCTTGCATTTATGTAACTTATTTTTTGTCTGGTAATTCTAACTCTGGGAGAAACTAATCTAAAAGGCACTAAATCCACTAAAAAGCAATGGATTTAATGTGTTCTCTTTTCCAAGTAATCTAATTCCACATGCTGGGCTTCTGTTGTGGTGGATGGTTAATGGGGAAAGTGGGGACTAGCCGGGGAGGAAGTTTTATATCTGTAGACCTTTTGGGGTCCACAAATCACAGTTGGAGTCTAGTGTGGGTTCAATATCAGCCAGTTTTATGAAATCACATTTTATAAAAATACCAGTTTTTAGAATCATTCTACTCCTTTATCAGGACCTTTGGTTGTTATTTTTTTTTTCCTCTCAGGGACATCCTGTTACCTCACACTTAGTTGAAAATTCCACTGCATCCTCCATGAGCATTTATTTGGGGTATGGCTTTACCAGATATTGGTGAAGGAAGAATGCTAGCAGGACATGACAATTTTGTCCTTTCCTCAGCAAATACAGAGATCCGTTTGAAAGTCACACTTGTCTACTTTGTACAAATGACTATGTTTTCAGGAAGTGTCTGGTAAATTGGCAATTTTGACTCTGACTTGAAAGGAGAAAAAGCAATGGTTCTAATAACGAACATTCACTGACAAATCATGGCAATAAAAATGTCTGCAGCTTCAATACTATAGAGGATTAGGGCTTTGACATTATTCTGGATTATGGCATTCTAGGTTGCTGAAGGCATATTATGTTTTGTTTGTGTTATGGTATGTGCAATGAAGAACAAAATCGAAACAATGACTCACAACCATAATTTAAATTTCTTTGTACACAGAGTTATTACTAACAAAAATAATTTTGTCTTGCCCCCTCTCCCACAGAATGTTTTAGTAGGAAAGGACTTTTTAAAATCTGTTTTATTTACTGCTCTATCTCTCAGAACAGGAACAAGAACTGAAAGATAATAAATCTATGTTTAGTGAATAAATGAATTAATTAAATCTTATCATTATGATATATTACCTTTGGTCAGTGCCACTGAAATAAATTACTATTTTTATCCTGAGGCTCTTGATTTGGATATATGGGGGTGGTTTGAGGCATTTTCTGTATTTTTTCCATTTTGTGTTGCGGAGACTAGTGAAAATTCAGGGCGCTCATATTTTTAAATCACTAATTGAGTCCATCAGTTCCCACAAAATGGTGTGGCAAATTTAAAGAGAATTTTAGCCCCATACCTAGAATCTTTCACATGGCTTAATATCCTGTTTCTTCACCAACATAGAATTCTGCCTTCTCTATCTGATTCTAACAGTTGTTTGATACTTGAAAAAAACTTTGTATGAAAGAATGTTTGTAAACATAGAATATTTGTAAATGTTCATTATCAACTATATATAGCATCTTCACAAAATATAAAAAGAGTTTCCCTTTAGATATTCTCTGCTTTCTACTCCTCAGGATTGCCACAAAACTGCAGGGAAAGAAAAGTTGAAAAGAGTGCCAGTCAATCTTATTTGTCAACTTGGTGGCTATATACTACCTAGTTATTTAATCAAACACTAATCAAAGTATTGCTGTCAGGGTATTTTTTAGACTTATCTTTTAAAATCACTTGACTTTAAGAAAAGGGGAATATCCTAGATAATGTGGGTGGACCTCATCCAATGTTGTAAAACTTTGGACCAAAACTGGTTTCCTGGAGAAGAAATTTTGCCTCAGGAGTGAAGTATCAAATGCTGCCTGAGTTTTCAGCCTGCCAGTCTGTCCTATGAATGGATTTTGGACATGCCAGCCCCCACAGCTGTGTGAACCAAGTCTCTAAAACAATCCTTTATGGTATGTATATACATGTGTAATTATTGGTTCTTTTTTTATAAGAACTCCGACTGATACAGGGAGAAAATGGTCAAAGAAAAAACCTCACATTTGTGTACCTGTTTTCCACTTTGAAGTAGGTTTTGTAACCTAGTGATATTTGTAAAGTATCTAAAGTAATGGTATATACCACATGCATGTATCTAAGTCAAGAAATTTACAAGGTAGTATTACAAGGTAGGTATGGTGACAGAGGGTAACTACACATATGGTGGTGAGCATTTCATAATGTATATAATTGTCGAATCACTGTGTTGTATGGCTGAAACTAA